CCCCCGCAATCGCCCGCCTCCCGGGACCCCCCCCCCCCCCTCCTTGCTCTGTGCTTCGGGGTTTGCGTTCCCACTGGTCGCCGCGAGGCCGAGGGCCGCGGCCGACGTCGCGCACGCGAGACCGGCGTTGCCGCCGGAGGAGCAGTAAAAGTGCACGTCGGCGGACGCCGAGGCGGCGACGGCGCGGAGCACGAGGTTGCCCACGCCGCGGGACTTGAACGAGCCCGAGGGCTGGAGGTTTTCGAGCTTGAGAAGGATGTTGCTGTTGCTGCTGTCAGATGCGCGGTTCCGGGGGATGCTGTGTTCGGGGAGGATGCTCACCAGCCGGCGGCACGGGAGAGCTCAGGAGAGGATATGAGGGGGGTTTCGATCCAAGGCAGCTTCGCCTCTGCGCTGATGGAGCCCATGGTCTGGCGGTATGGGAATGGGCTGCAGAGGTCAAGATGTGGAAGCCGAGATGCAGCAGAACAGGGACAGGATACAGCAAAGAGAGTATGTACTATCGAGTCCAAACTCAGGAGGCGTCAAAGAAGAGGGAGAAGACGGGGACACAGACACTACAGACTATATACATATACCAGTAAACCCATCCATCGACTCTTCAGTCGAAACGAAGAATACAAAACAATCCAGCCCTGCCCAGTATCATCACGTCGTAGACGCGGCTGTCAACCCCATGCCCCCCCTTCCCCCTTAAGCCCTCCCCCAAAGACCCGCATTCTATAGGGTAAACACCAGCAATCTATAGGGTAACCCGCGGAAAGTTATAGGGTAAACCAAAGAAAGTTATAGGGTAATCATAGTTTCCGCCGCGCGCCGCCCGAGATGGGAAACCCAAGATAAAAATAACCTTGGGGCTGCTCCCCACCCCCCCTCCTTGTTGAGCACGATGGCGAACACCTGCCTTCCTGGGGGACCGACGCCCAGGCCCCGTGTCTCGTGCCGACGGCGCCAGTGCGTCTCGTCAGCCGCCCGCTTTGCTTAAGGATCGGGCCAAGGGGTATGGTGATGTTGGCGTCATGTGGCAGGGTGCTGGCGTCGAGTGGGGAGCGCGGCCTGGAACATGGAACGAAGCTTTCGCTCTTCGGAGGCGGCGTGCCACACTGCTGAGATGGCCATGTCTCTTGGGAGCCTTGGGGTCTTGGTGGTGAGGGGCAACATGGAAGAGGGGTCGAGGCATCGCCAGTGTTGTTTTGGGGATTCGGGGACTGGCGCCGCCGCTTTAAGGGGTGAGCGACTGGGCTGTTCAACAGTACACGAACCGGCTCGATGTCTGAAGTTTCCAGTAATCGCATACATGTATACTTGCGTCTGCTCATGACTAGATGTAATACCACGTGGGTTTCCTCAGCTCCATTACCTCTCTTGCCAAGCATGAAGCCATTCGCGACCGGCAACACTCCGTCAGGACCTAGAGATCCTCCTCATCCTCTGACATCTCCAGAATGCCCTCTCTTACGACCCTCACCCTGACCTTCATGCCCCACACCTGCTTCTTCTTCCCCGCCCAGTTCTTCTTCTTGCCTGCCTTCTCCACGACCTTGAGGTTGTCCTTGAGCGCCTCCTTGTAATGTGCGCGGTCTTTCTTCTTCTTTTGCAGCGAGATGGTCAGTACGAGCCCGGGCTTGTCCTCCGACTTGCCCAACCGGTCTGACCACTCGGCCGAGAACAGCACCCTTGGCTTCGTGGTGTCAACCTTCCCGGCTGGGTAGAGACAAGTGATGAGGTAGCCCACGCGACCCAGATACTGCGCCCACCAGACATCTTCCGGCGTCAGCGTCGAGCGCAACGCTTCGCGAAAGGCGACTTCTCGTGGCGGCAGCTCGCCTCGGTAGCGCGCCTGGAGCATGAGCGCCAGCCGCGCCCTGTCCTGGTGCGATACGCCGTGCGTCGACGACATGATGCCCGTGCTCGTCGCGTAGAGCGCCGCTGTCGAGGCCGTCTCCTTGGACATGAACATGTGGAAATACATGACATTCGTGAACGAGTCGAGTACGTGATTCCCAAACTCTGGTGGGAAGCGCCGGCTGGCGTCCGTCTTGGACGGCTCGGGAATGGCGTGCTCGAGCATCTTTTGCAGTTGGCGCCGGGAGCCCGGGGCAAACTGCTGCGTCGCGACCTCGAGGGGCGCCTTGCGGCGCACCGAGACGGGGAGCTGCGCAAATAGATAGCCCTCGCGGACACCTCCCTGACAGAAATGAGCCTCGCGAATGCCGCCGTAAGGGATGGCCTCGGCGACGACATTGACAAGAAAGGCCACGGCGGGAACCTGCGCACGGCGGCGATCAGACACGCGAAAGACGTCTTTGGCCGCCCGCGCCACCTCCTTGAGCGTCTCCGTGTCCTGAAACTGCTCACGGCCGACGGTGTAGCCGTTGATGATAGATATGGGATAGTGGTGGCCGTGGGATTGGTTGAGGTGCAACAGCAGGTAACCCCAGCCACGGAACCCGCCGCCGGAGAGGTAGATGCGGAAGCCACCGTCGCGACGAGCGCGCTCGATGAGGTCGTCGGGCACTTCTAGGCCGGAGAAGGCCTCACGAAAGTTGGCGACCATCTCCTGGCGAAACTCCTCAACAGCGCGGCGGGCTTCGTCCTTGTCCTTGTCCTTCTGGAGGTCGTCAAGCTTCTTCGTCAGAGCGGCGGCGCCGTAGGGAAAACTGAAGCTGCCCCGGGGGCTGATTCGGACGTTTCCCTCGCGGCTGATGATCCAGGTGATCTGGGTGCTGCCGCCACCGAGGTCCATGACGAGGCCATCCATGGCGAGGAAGCCGCTGGCGACCCCGAGGGCGCCAATGTGGCCCTCGTCTTCCTTCTTGAGAAGCTCAATGTCGAGGCCGGTTTCCGACTTGACAGCGGCCAGGAGCTCGGCCGAGTTTTCGGCAGCGCGTGTGGCTTCGGTGGCGACGAGATGGATCTTGTCCTTCTTGACGCCAAAATCGTTGCACACGACAAGGAAGCGGCGCAAGAGCGAGCACACACGACGAATGGTGCGGCCCGGTATGGGGATCTTGGTGCCCGTCTCGGGATCGAACTGGGCATCGTACAGGGAGAGCCCAGACCGGTACATGAGGACGGTGGGCAGAATGCGACACATGCTGGCTGAGAGGTCCGAGATGGAGAAGCGGATGCCATTACTACGGTCGCCAGTCAGGCGGGCTCCTGTATTGTGCCAGCTTTCCGTCTGCTGTGTAACTCACCTTCCCATGTCGACGATGCCTACGAGCTTGTCTCCGTGACCTCGCCAAGGTGGGTGACCGCCACTGTAAAAGTTTGTGGACATGTCCTCCTCGAGGCGGTCAGAATCCGAGCCGTCCGAGCCGTCGTCGTCGGAAGCACAGGGCGTCAACTGGACGTCACCGCTGCTGCTGCTGGCGCTGCTGGCACCGCTGCTGCTCTCATTGTCGCTGTCGCTGCTGCTGGCCTCAGCCATCCTCAGAGGAAGAGGGATCCTCTCGTGCATTGCATTCGTCACGGGTTGAACCGAATGAATGGATGAATGAATTCCCAAGGGAGGAGAGTTCGCAGCTGATCAGAAGGAGGCAGTGTCGAGAGAATACAGTGATGTCATGGCGCTAATGACACGGTGCGGCTGAACCGCCTGACGCGGCAGGATATCCGCTTCGATGTCTGGAGCGTCTTGCGGCGTCGTGGCGTCCTGGCATGTTGTTGAGTATTGAGGTAGGGAGAGGTGTTTGTGTTTTTCGTTAGCTTCTTGGGAGCTCAACTTGGTTTGTTATGTCTATCTGTGTGTCGTGGTGGATGGCGCAAGATACGTGGAAGGATTATGGTGCACTGTGGCCTTCCATTGCACCTGCCAGGGTCCATGTAAGTGCAAGCAGTTACCACTTCCCATGCACCTGCCTTGTAGCACCCTCCTTCCTCGCGGTGCCCGCCGTACCTACCTCAGGTTACCTCGAGAGACATGTGCAGTGACCTCGGAAACTTTGTGTAACTGCCTGTGTAATTTGTCACGTGGGTAGAGACTGTGACTGCCTGATTGATGTGAGATGCAACTCGCCCTACCCCGCAAAGTCGACGATTCTCGCCACCCAGATATCAGCTGGCATCAGCATCAGTAATCTTGCCATCTTTGGAATGAGACACCTACGATTTGGCCATCTCTCAAGTCCGAAAGCCTTCACTCGTATCATTTTCACCGCAACTGAAATTGTCCGGTTGTCGAGTCACTGCATGTTGTGTCCTGGCATGCCTGGCTTTGTACTTCACTCGACGGCCACCTACGGAACAGCCCACGATGACTTCTCAACCCCCTGCGACAGAGCCTGAGACCAAGTCTCTCGAAACTCAGGAACTGTCCTTGGAGAATCCAACCCTAACATTGCCACACGAGTCCCCTAAAAAACACACGCAAGAGTCAACGGACCGGCGGATAATCCTGAAGCACATCCCAAAGCTGTCCATCTCAAGTCCGACGGGCACTGTGTGGCATTGTCCTATTTCACGCGTCTCGGAGCACCCTGATGGCCGCTGACAGAAGAGTCTGGCTGGATGCCGTGAGAGGGGCTCTGCGGCTGTACAAAGATAGAACTACCATGTGCATAAACACCCATCTACGCAAAAGCGGCGAGAGATCCTAGCCAATTTGGTCCACCAGTCTTCCCAATCTGGAGAACATTTCGGACCAGGCGCGGGGCGAAATCAAGCAATGGCTTGGGCGTCGATCCGACAGTAGCCGCAAAAGCCACCCAGGGTCGGCGGTTCCTGTTAGGTAACTTCAGGGAGCCCCCTCCCCATGATGTTCCTCGCTCCAGAGCCTCTTGACGTACCACGGGGTGTCAATTAGCGGCCGTCGCTGAGTCGACGGCCGTTGGCGTCCGAATCTCGTGCCAAGCTTCCATCGTGACCACCCCTTGACCGCTGCGGGAAGGTCATGTTGGGGGTGTCTGGGGCCTGGAACATGCCTTTCGTGTTTGGACGCAAAGGCCCCCTCACACCCTCTCCGTCGAAACACCACGCATGACATGTCACGATCCATTGTCGGTGAGGTCGTCCGGGATTCCTCGGTGCCGAGTCTTGTTGGGAAAGCATTTGAAGCCACGATCCTAGAGAAGCCGTAACGCCACCTTCCTCGGATGGCCACAGGCATATGGATCTTGCAGCAAAGTGCTCTTATAATGGGCTGCATACTGAGGGCGGGCAAGGTTCGAGAAAGGTCAAAGGACATACCCGGAGAAATGTCCCCTTTGCTGGACCGCCAGGACGTGACAGCCGATCTGGTGAAGCCGAGTGATTCCTGGGTCCAATCTCCAGCCTAAATGGTTCAATATATTCCCATGTACGCTGATTCGTTTTCTTTCGCGGCTCCCTACGTTTGTAACGGCTGTGACGGACGTTTTGGATCATGACCTTGACAATGATACGATCAATCTATTCTTTCGACTTGCCATCATTGTCAGACTCCAAGCACCACATTGCTGGGTTAGCATTGATTGTGATCACACAAGTACGTGATGGGCTGGTACGCATTTAATGGCATTGTATTCGAGGATATATAAAATCGAGGCCATTGAGCAAAGGACAATCATTAACTTCTAAGAACTGTAAAACGAGGAGACCCAAATACTCCGATTTCACAAGACACCTCCAGACTCGAGATTCCTACGATAGCACATTCTGAATCATATCGTCGTCTTCGTTTGATAACTGCTGCCTGTATCTAATCATACCACAGCAGCCTCAACCAAAAGGGGTGACTTCCTTCCAGCAAATCGCACTTCCTGCCTTTGTTACCTATCAACTGGCCATTGCGAATCTTCTCCTTCCTGGGCAACCACACAAACCAGTATCCTTTCCTCTCGAAGGCATAAAATTCAGCAACTGAACTTCATCCATCTACAACATCTGGCCTGCCAGGCAGAACCGCCCAACAGTACATTCGAGCTTCAGACCTCTTCACCATGCCGGCCGAAAGTCCGCCCAGAGCGCCCGAGAGCGCGACTCCCGCAGCCGCCTCGCCCGAGCCAGACGACGCCTCCGCCGCCCAGCCCGCGGCGCCGGCCCCGAAACACGCCAACAAGCTCGAGATGCCGCCGCGCAACAAGCGCAACCTCGCCCTCCGCGGCAGCACCTCGGCGGCGCCCAACATGTGGCGCGCCTACCAGCGCGACCTGAAAAAATACAAGAAGCTCATGCGCAAGGCCGAGGGGAAGAAGGCGCGCAAGAAGCAGCGGCTCGCCGACGCCATGGCCGCGGCCAAGCGGCAGGGCAGGGCGGCCAAAGAGCGTCTGCGGGAGGCGAAGAAGGCGGAGAAGGAGGCCGAGACGAGGGAGAAGAGGGCCGTCAGGGAGGCGCTGAGGGAGGCGCTGCGCGCTGCGAAGGAGGTCGAGCGGGCTGTGCGCGAGAAGCAGAAGGCTGAGCGGCGACTTGAGAGGCTGGAACGCCGGCGCGCGGGCGCTGCTGGCGTCGGGGGTTCGCGGATTGGTGCGAGAGTGGCTTTGCAAGAAAGAGGTGCCGCGGAGCCGGTTGACGAGACTATGGACGAGGAGGAGGGGGAGGTGGACGAGGAGCTGCTCGAGACAAACCGAAAGTCTGGGCTCCTTGCCCTGCCGATGGAGGTCCGAGAGATGATCTTGGAGCATCTGCTTACCACGGACACGCCGATCCGGCTGATCGAGGGTTGGGCCAAGCTTTGGAAGGGACGCGGCCCGCAGCTCGACACGGCCGTGATGCGTACATGCAAGCTGCTGTTCAGCGAGAGCATCATCATCCTATATGGTCGCAACATGTTCGAGTACGTCCTGCGGGAGGTCGCCAATGCCCCGTTCCCTGCAGACGCGGGAAACAACGAAGGAAAGAACGATGTGGCCAGCCCCAACAACAACGGCAGCGGTGACAGCGAGGTCGCACACGAACTTCCAGACGATAACTACACTGAAGCCGGCTCGGTTTTTGCCGTCGACGAAGACGAGATGGATGACGATGATGATAACCCAGCTCCGTCGCAGACAACCCCCAGCATGGCACCCCCCACCGCCGGCGCCGTCGATATTGAGATACGGAAGTTCGGCTCTCTCTTCCGCCATCTGACCATTGTCGCGGAAAGAAACCGCACAGAGCTTGGGTATCTTCACAGCATGGCCGACGCCATTGACGTCTTCCGTCACCTGCCCCCTAAACCCGGCGCCCATATTAACACCCTGTCTATTGTCATCACGCCTGGCTTCGAAGACGGCGTGGTGACTTTCCTCGACTTCTTCGAGCCAGACGGACGCGTCGTCAGGTCGCTGCGCGGGCTACCATGCCAGTTTGTCCGGATCGTCGTCCATACCGACTACAGCGTCCGTGGCGGGCGGCCGCATACAATTGCGATTGATATGCGGCCACTGGAGGCCGAAAAAGACGAGGGAGAGGTTGCGCGAAGACGGCGCGAGGAAAAGCTTGGTAATCGACGAACAATGCTGCAGACGTTGCCCAAGCTGATCCGGGCTGGCTGGGAGGCTGGTGCTGATCCTGACTACGGCATGTGCTCTGAGGAGGAAATGGACGATTGGGAATACTTCTGGTTTGGAGGGGTCAATCCCGATGCGGTGGGCGACGGGGACGAGGAGGATGTTGAAGAAGAAGAAATGGAGCTGGACTAGGCTATGCGTTATGATCAAGGTGCCGTGGGGACATGGTTTGCTACGCGATTTGAGGAAGCCGTCCCAGGGAGACAAGGGTGGTTGCATTGGAAGCTTTGCTAGACACGCATGACCACTACCGTTCCAAAGATCGCAGAAGATGGCTCAGTAGCTCGAACTAGGACAAATAGGAGAAAGCTCAGGGGTATCATTTTTCTTCATTCACGTCAAGCATCAGGGTCTTCAAGTAGCTGTAGAGATGCGAACCTTGGACACCTCGAGCGTCTCCGTGTCCACCAGCACAACCTCCTTCGTTTCCGAGAAAGAAGGCACCGTGATGAGGCGGATCTGCTGGCCTTCGGGCCCCTGAACGACCTTGGTCGAGAACTCGGGCTGGCACCCGACAAAGTAGAGGTGAGGTGCCGACTTGATGACAAAAGGGTCGTCATCTTGAAAAGGGTAACTCCCTGCGGCGGCGTCAGTCATGGTGTCACGGCATGCCACGGCTGGGACAGGGAACGTACAAAGAGTGTCAGGAGCAGTAGGTGCACTACACCTCCACCTGCACATGGCCTCCATCATGCCCAAACGATCTTCACTATCGATGTACTTGAACACGTCGTCGACGTTCTGACCGCCCGTGCCGAGGACTCTCCATCCGTCGATTTCACCCTCCCACGGGTTGGTCGTGTTGTCGAACCACCCGGCCTCGTTCGCGTCAGGATGGACGGACCAGGGTCTCGCTTTGGGGAACATGGCGGTGTGGATCGGCTGCTGAGGATAGCTTGCGTTGGCGGGATCCTGGGCGCCCGGCAGCAGAGTGATGGGCATGGAAGGGAGAAGCTCCGCGAGAAAGTCGTCGAGCAGCTGGCTGGGGACCGGGTTGTAGGTAGACGAGTCGTAGCCATATTTCTTGGTGACGGGCTTCTTGTCTGTCGCACTGGGGTCCAGCTTCGGCGCCTCGGTCAGTGATATGGAGTTTCCGGCAATAATGAGGCGGCTGATGTTTGAGGCCTCTTTTTGGGCAGATGGATCGAGTGACTCGCCGAGGAGGTATTCCAGGAGCAGGTCGAGCTCGACAGCGTACGAAGCATCATGGCCGGAGAAGGAGAGACCGGAGACGATGGCAATCTTGCTGCCGCCCGACTCGGCAGTTGGGGCATCCTTCATTTCTTCATCCTCGTCCTTGACCTGTTGCTTGCCATTGGAGGGGGGCTTGGTAAGATCCCAGCGCTCTGGTTGGGGGGCGATGTCGGCAAACTTGATATCAATGACTTCGAGTTCGCCGTTGGCGTTTTCAGATCCCATGACAGCGATGACGCAGCCCGTGACGAGGTTGACCGTCTTGAGGACATCGCCTACGAGCCTGATGCGACCCGAGTCGTCCTCAATCATGACCTGGTCCTGGTCGTCGTCGGAGTAGTATTTCTCAGTCGAGATGGGGGCCGAGATCCAGCGCTACGACGGGGGCAGGTCAGTGACAGCAGCCACCAGCTCTGCAGAAGAAACGACCTACGTCTTTGGACACATCCTCGAGAATATTGGGCTTCAATCGCATCTCCATGTAGATGGTACCAGCCACCCAGCACAGCTCACCCTGTCGGACGTCGAGGACTCGATTGACCTGCTTCGCCGGCTCCCCGCCAATGACGGTGCCATCCCAGGCTTCGGCTGCGATCTTTTCTACAGCAGGTTTGATACGCGTGAGGCGGAGGAAGTAAACGTCGGCAAATTGTTGCTGGTAGGACCTGTCTTTTTTCAAGAGAAACGTGGCTAGGGGCTTGTAGGTTGAAGGTGCTCTTGCGAGCTGCGTTGTCTCTGAATCCCTTGTTGCGGTCAGTACTGGCCTGCACGGGGGGGGGGCATTGGCGACGCAATGCACTCACGACTTTTTCTGGAGAAGGCCAGTGACCTCATCGAGGGTGACCATTGCGTGAGGCGGCTTCTGCAAGGTGTTTTGGCAAATAGTGAGGTGTCGATGCAGCTGTCCCGCCAGAAATTGAGGTCAGTCTGGAGATGGGAGCCAAAGGAAGCTAGTAGCTCCAAGCTGGACAATGAGTGGGGGATGGGATTTGTGAGAGCCAACGCGTCGAGGAGGACCAGCGCGACCCCGGGCCCAAGGTGAGTCGCGACTTTTGGCGTAAAGCACTGTGGCTTGACTCAAAGGCAAAGCCACGGCGGGGTTCCTAGGGTCCTAGCATCCAGACTCAGACTGCCAGGCAGGTCAGGGTTCCAGGATTACAGGGATTGACTCACTGAGAGGACTCGCTGAGAGGACTCGCTGAGAGGACTCGCTGATTCATCACTACGGGGAATGCCGAAGGAACACCGCCGGTAGCTGCCGCGGGGTATCGAAGCCAGCGACCCATCGAGCCATCGAGCCGTCGGAGCATGCGACACTGGATCGACCTTTCCTAAAAGTCCTATCAGCTTAGTACACGAAAATTCTACATCTTCCAACCTCTCCCCCTCTTTGCCTATATATCCGAACCTCCCGTCGTCCTCTCATTGACTAATCTCTCTTTGTCTTTCTGTTCCTTCTTCTTTTCTGCCCCTCCATTCGACCTCTCCATAACCGCAATCATGGCGCCCGCTCGCTCTCCCACTCTCGCGACGAATAACCTGACCTACACCTTTCCCGACTACTCCACGGGCATCCGCGACATCACGCTCGACCTGCCGGCCCAGTCTCGCACTCTGATCATTGGAGCCAACGGCGCTGGCAAGACGACACTGCTGCGCCTCCTCGCCGGCAAGCGTCTGGCCCCCTCAGGCACCATCTCGGTCGGCGGCGTCGACCCCTTCAAGGAGGGCCTTGAAGGCGTCACCTACCTGGGCCTCGAGTGGGTCCTCAACCCCATCGTCCGCACCGACATTGGCGTCAACGAGCTCCTGCGCTCCGTCGGCGGCGACGCCTACCCCGAGCGCCGCGACGAGCTCATCGGCGTCCTCGACATCGACACGACCTGGCGCATGCACGCCGTCAGCGATGGCGAGCGCCGCCGCGTCCAGCTCGCCATGGGCCTCATCCGGCCCTGGACCGTCCTGCTCCTCGACGAGATCACCGTCGACCTCGACGTCCTGAGCCGCGCCAACTTCCTCGGCTGGCTGCGCGCCGAGACCGAGACCCGCGTCTGCACCGTCGTCTACGCCACCCACATTCTCGACAACCTCGCCGGCTGGCCCACCCACCTCGTCCACATGCACCTCGGCCGCGTCAAGGAGTGGGACCGCGCCGAAAAGTTCCTCGAGGGCGTCGACGAGAAGAGCGGCAACAGCACCCTCGGCCAGCTCGTCCTGCGCTGGCTGCAGCAGGATCTCGACGACCGCGGCCCTCGCTCGCAGGCCGGCATTGGGCCCGAGGGCAAGACCTACTCGGCTGGCGGCTATGGTGGTTACGGCGACGAATCGACCAAGATTGCGAAGAAGTAGGCACGTGATGGCCATCGACTCGCCATGTGTGGCAGTTGGCCCCCCTTTCAACGTGTGTCGAGCACGATTTTCGTCATAAAAATGTAATGACGAGGAAGGGCCGGGCGGCAGGTAGGCTATTTGCATCGGTTCTTGCATGACGGGGAAAAAAGGCCAAGGGTTTAGGTCCAGGACGGAAACAGCATCATCAGAGGGGCGTAGGGGGCATTCTCAACTTTGCTCTGCGCGGCGTTACGGTTGCTTCAACATTACAGCATACCCATTTGCTTTCAGGCGGGCGGCGGTTTTTTCTCTAGTTGGAAAGGAGAGCCGCGTCTTTGGATAGATACCCTGACTTTCAACGAACAGGTCTCTTTCAGGTCAGGAGCTAGATATCGCGTCAACTTCAACTAGACAAGATCTCTTGCTTCTTTTCTGCAACTAGAAAATCTCAAGCATCATGATTTCCCTTCTCGGGGGCCAGCTATGCTTCCCAACACGGCCCCCCCCCCTGGTGCGTCTACCCTAGCGACGCGCGCGAGCCCTGACTCCCCTGGCTCGCGGCGTTCCCCGTGCCCTGCAAGACCTTGAGGATATTCTTCATAAAGTCCATGACGCCCACGAACCCCTCCCTCTCGAGATGTCGGAGCACCTGCAGCCGGTACTCGGCCCACTTGAGCGGCAGGCCGCGCGCGGCCGCGAGCCGCTGCAGACTGGCCTGCGTCACGGGCCCGGCGTGGCGCGTGGCGATCATGACGCCGCCGTCGCCGCGGAACGCCTCGTCCTCGAGCGCGCGCACGCAAGAGATGGACTGCAGGCTCAGCAGCGGCGAGTGCGACAGGCCGAAGAGCAGCGGCAGCGCGAGATCGGAGCCGACGTCCTCGGCGTACCGCTGGAAGCGGCTCGTGGCGGCGCGGGGCGCGAGGCAGCCGAGGGCGTTCGTGTCGGTGGCGTTAAAGGCGCGGCCGCGCCAGAGGCAGTTGCAGAGGTCCATGAGGAAGCTGTTGAAGGTGCGGAGGTCGGCCGACGTGTAGGCCGTCTTGGACCGCGCCATGGCGGCGTCAAAGGCCGTCTTGTAGCGGGCGAGGACGCCGGTGAGGCGGGACACGTTGCCGAGCGAGGGCGAGAAGAAGACGAGGTAGACGAGCGCCGGCGACGGGATGGCGATGCGGACGTGTGGTTGCAGGGTGGGGTGCGAGGTCGTCGCGGCGACTTGTTCGTAAAAGTCGAGGACGGCGCCGTTGGTTGCTGTTGAGGGGCATGCTTGTATGAGCGAGAGCGTGAGAGCGTTGGCGTGAATCTGAAGTTGCCTGACGGCGTCAAAAGGTGTGTCGGACGGTATGCTGCCCAGGGCGAGAAGGACCGAGGTCCAGTTGTGTAACAGGCCTCTGTAGGTATCGAGCAGGAGGATCTGATTTGAAGGCGTTCGGGGAAGGCACTTCTCGAGGGGTTGGAAGAGGAGGCGCTCAAGTTCTACGGTTGTTAGTGGACATGAAATTCTGTGCATAACCAGATACCTACCATCAAATCTGGACAATGTTGTGTACTGAAGTATGCCGAGGATATGACCTTGTGCTTCGACGCCGTCCCACCTCTCGAATAGTTTGGCCAGGAAGTTTAAGACGACCGGGGGTGTTTCCTAACCATGTTAGTCACAGAGTTTTGGAACCAACTAGTCGGTAACTCTACCTTTGACGCGCGAGACATAGTCTTGGAGAACCTCCATGGTGTCCTCGAAGGTCTTGGCGTCTGCGTTTCCCGAGACGACATCGTCGAGGAGCGCGTCCAACCAATGCACGATGCGGCGCGACATGACATCGTCCTTCCTCAAAGCAACGAGTTTCTGAAGCAGCGGGTCGGCAAGGACAGCAGCTAACTGATTCGGCACCTCAATCTTTTCCAGCGTTTGGGCCAGTCGATCAGCGCTGTCGATTTCCTCTAAAGTCACAGACGTCTGCACGTGTCAGCACCAGATGGAGACAGGGAGGGGCATCGCATTCGTACCTCGTCGGCATACGAAGTGTGAACAGCAGGAATACCAGACGGACGCGGTCCTCGTCCGCCGCCCGCAGCGTGTCTGCTCACCGTGAAGCCGCTCTGAGGTTGTGAGTTGGCGGCCGTGGAGCGTTGGGCATAGTCGCGTTGAATTTCGCCCAGCCGGTCGCGCCATTGGGTGTCGGGGTGCTGATGTTGTTAGTTCAGTATCTCTCCGGTTGCAGGCTAGAGAAGCGCACCTTGAAAGCAGATGCCTTGCCCTTGATGGCGTCGCCAACGATGATTTCGGGGTAGTAGTCTTTGAATATTCGCAGGAGGCCTGTCAACGCTGGATCATGGCCCGTCCGTCGAGATAGGCCTAGGCTATTCGGGATCAGCACGATGGAAGAATTTCTCTTTTGCTCCAGAATGTTTACATTGCCTGTATTCTGAAAGGGCGCACATGTTTGCGTCGCGTTATTACGGCAAGAAGATGGCAGAGGTGTGGCCTGTCGCTGGTCAGCGCATCTCACCCATCTCATTTCCCAAATGAAGGGCGAACCTGATGGCTGCTGTATCTAGCAGGTTGAACAGGATAGCATATGACTGTGAGAGGATAGCTGGAGTCTCAATGGTTTGATACACCATGACGAGCCACCTTAACAAGCCAGCCTGGATGGGCAAGGAAGGCTTGAGCTCCCCGCGTCCAAGACAGCCAATGACTCTGAGGATGACATCGGAGGAAACACGACTAGACGGGTACAAGTTGTTGATGAGCGAGTTGAGGCTGGCTTGATCAAGGTGGCTGGGTTTTGTGATGAGTGAAATGAGCTCGCTCAGCGCGTCTGGTAAGAGGCCTTGGTCGTATGCGCGTGAGGTGAGGTTCTCGATGGTGGGCTTGATCGAGACAAATCGCTTTTTGGCGGGAATCTTTGCAGCTACTCCATGATTAGCATTGTTTCAAAAGTGAAGTGTATGAAGTAAGCACAAACCTTGAACAACATCGTTGATCAGGTCCCGCAGCTCAGCTTCATCACCAGAGGCCATGTTGACATGACAGGGGCAGGCTTTCACGGCTGCCGAGTTGGGTTTCCCGACACCATACCCTGTGCCTGTGATATTGATCTGCTTCTACTTCCAGGATCGCGAGAAGCAGTAGGAATAAAAGCTTCGTGAGAGGCGATTGAGTTCACCATCTGAAGCCGTGAGACGATACACCTTTGGTGTTGATAGCTGTGAACGCGGCGCGTTCCTGGCAGTTGTCGTCGGCTGACAGACTTCGGGACGCGCGAGTGTGCCGCACGGACCATCCACCCTCCCTCATTGTGGCGGAATCCAGGCAGACGTGGCGGAAACATCCCTTTAAGACCGAATTTAGTCTCAGTACAAAAAGCCGACCATGAGCCGGGCCACCGCCTTCATAATAGGTTTTTCTTGGTCGGGACACTTTACATTGACACTTGATCCGTTCGATTTTCACTTTTTCCACGTTGTGCTCGAGATCCGAGACGAACCTACGTCTGTGCGCATCCGAGTTGTGACGCATTCTTGACATCTTTCTCTCTCATATTCACGATCCGTCTAACCCCTGATCCGCCCTCGTCACCGACGTCATCACCAGCCACAATGCCGACTCCCCTCGACAACGCCATGAAATCCAAGGTGAGGAACCGTATGCTCGCGACAAGTATTTGGCTAACAATTACTGCATAGAATGCGCTTCTAGGTATGTAAACAGGCCTTAAGGATGGAACTCCAACCCACCTGTCACGCAGCGTTCGGCGGCCTCGTCACAGCAGTGGCCGTCTGGAGCATCTACGGCGGCGACATGTTCCCCGCGGCCGCCGACCCGACGGGCAACCCCGAGGAGTGGACGCGGGAGGAGATGCGCCGGTGGCTCGCAGCGGTAGGCCTCTCCGCCGCCGTCCTTGTGTGGGGTTCGTTCGCTCACAGACGGGCAGCGCAACCTGTTCCCCGGAGACGCGGCGACGCGCGAGGAGCTCCTCGCTAGGGTACTGGCCAACATGCGGATTCCGAGGGCGTCGGCGTGATTGGCGTGGTGTTTCTTGCTTACCTGGGTGTTGGTGGACCGACAGTGGTATCTTATAGGTAGTTCCGTAGCTTGACGCGTTGCAGCATGTCATGATTACACAGGTTAACTTGGTGCAGCAAGTACATGCAGCGATGTTGCCAAAAGATCAAAAAAAAAATGAGCATTTTCCACCAGGATATGGAGCGGAATCAGCCTCCGCTGATCTCTACCATGACAACAAAAACCACAGACTACTCGACTCCTCCAGCACGAGCCCGAGTGCCTGTTTCAGCCCTCCGTACCCAATCTCCTAACTTCGACCTCTCACTCCTACAGCTCGTCGCGGCCGGTGGCCTTGGCGACCTCGGGCTCATCGGCGCCCACCTTCTCGGACGAGGTCCAGTTGAGGGCCTTGAGGCGCTCCGAGAGATGAGGGTGCGAGAAGTGGTACGTCGCGTACATCCAGTCGGCGTCCATGGTGCTGAGGTTCTGGACCTGGAGCTTGATGAGCGACTTGGCGAGCTCGGCGTTGTAGCCGAGCTTGTTGGCAAAGGCGTCGGCCTCGAACTCGTACTTGCGGCTCAGGATGTTCATGAGCAGCTTGACCACCGTGTCCATGGGCGACAGGGCGTCGGAGAAGAGGATGAAGCCGATGATGATGGGGTGCTCGAGGAGGAAGCCAAAGTCGGCGTAGAGGGAGTGGTTGTTGATGAAGACGGAGAAGAGGGTGAAGATGTAGAGGAAGTGCGCCTGGGGATGGTCAGTCATGGGCTGTCGGGGGGAGAGAAAGAGAGGGAGGGAGCATACCTGGGAGATGCCGAACAGGCGAGTGGTGTGGCCGAGGCTCCAGTGGCCGAGCTCGTGCGCCAGGACGGCGACAACCTCCTGGGTCTCGCTCTTCTCGATGAGGGTGTCGTAGATGACAATGTGCTTCTTCCAGGGCAGTCCGAAGAAGTAGGCGTTGCTGTGGGCGCTGCGCTTGCTGCCGTCAATGACGTACAGCTCGTGGAGGGGGAAGTTCAGCTTCTTGGCGAGGGCCTCGACGTTGGTCTTGAGCTCGCCCTCGTCGAGAGGGGACAGCTTGTTGAACAGGGGCAGGATGGCGATGGGGTAGATGGTGATCATGAAGACCTGGAGACCGGCAGCGAAAGCCCAGAGGTAGAAGAAGAACTGGTTGCCCGTCTTCTTGATGATGGCGAGGAAACCGGCGAGGATGGGCGGGGCGAGAATAAAGGTGAGCATGTTCGACTTGAGCATATCCGTGACGAAGAGCTTGGGCGTCTGCTTGTTGAAACCAAACTTCTCCTCGAGGACAAAGTTGTAGTAGATCGAGCTGGGCAGAGACAGGGCTTGTTGAACGAGGACAAAGGTCAGGACGAAGACGATCGAGTGCGATATTTCACCGGTGAAGCGGGCAGGCGCAAACTTGAGGAGCAGGTCGCCGGTCCAGGACCAGAGTTTCGGGAGGATGTCGAGTTGGATAAAGGCAATGTTCTGAATCTGGCCCCAGAGGCCGTTGATGAGCTCGTACTTCTGCTTGGCGCGGCCATACGCCTGGCTCTTGTCAAAGGTCTCTTGAGAGATCTCATTCTCGAGCACCTTGGGGGCCTTGGTCTTGCGGAGGACCTGGTACTGGCGCAGCGACAGGAGAGACTCGAAGACGAACTGGCCAACAGAGAAGCCGAGGATGAGCTTCTTCCACGGGAAGAGCGGACGGTCCAGGAGCCGCGCGAGGCGGTTGAGGTAGTCCATCGTTGCAAGAAAAGAGTGCAAGTGTTGATACAATGGCACTGGCAAACGAAGGAAAGGTGAAGGAGCGGAAGAAAAGGACAGACGCGAGCTGCGATGTGGGAGCTTCAACCTGGCGCAAACTGTCCAGAAGCCCACGTACGACAGCACTGTCAGCTCGTACCTCAGTCTAAGCGTGTTCATTGGCGCACCACGAGCATCCGTTGCGTCACATTGGTCCACAGCCCGCCTTCGCTTGTGGGACATTTTCTTTTTAGATGCATATATGCATCAGACCCCTGAAGTGCACTAATCCGATTTCCATCTCAAAATCTGGGACCGCGACATTCGTTTCTCAACACCAAAGCCAACGTCGCCTGCACATCACCGGCATTCGCGACCACAGCCACCATGATCCGCCAATCCATAGCCTGCGTCACCAGACGCCTGTTAACTGCGCCTGCAGTCCCGGCCTCGAGCTCCATCTCGACAAGGTGCGTCGTCGTGGCTCCAAGCTCACCGCATCCCGGCTTGGAGGGACCAAACTGACATCCACGCCCAGGGCCTTCTCCTCCTTCACACCCATCCGACCGACCCTTGCCGCCCGCCCGACCGTCTTCACTCGCCCCAGCACACTCCCGTTCGCGCCCTCCGCGTCACCAGCGACCGCAGCCCAAACCGTCGACGGCGTGGCTGCCGACCTCGTGCCCCGGAGCTCCATCACCGCCCACCCAGCGCTGTCTCAGATTCGCTGCGGCCCTCGCAACACGATGAACGGCAACAGCCGCCTCATACAGAAGCGCAGACACGGATACGTCAGCCGCATGAAGACCAAGGATGGTCGCAAGATTGTCAGGAGGAGGAGGATCAAGGGCAGGCTCCGACTGGGTTGCTCCAACTAGGGCACCAGCGTGCGCGAGATGCCGCGTGCGTGCGGTTGGCGATGGAAGATGAAGACGGCCGACTCACAAGGGTGCGGCGTCTGGTCGATGGGCTTGTACAATATGAGAGGTCGGCGAGGCCTGGGGAGAAGAGCTCCGGAGGGGGGGGGCTTGTAACCATATGTGCAGATAGAGCAATGCTGTTCAACGATCCTCTTAGCGTAAAAACCACGGCTCTGGAGATGGAGGTCATTTGTCTCGTCGTATTTCTCACAACGCATCCCAGGTCGAAGCTTACGAGGCTCACAGGCAGAGGTGATTTGTATGATTACGAGGCAAGCTTAGCATGTTGCCTGTGTCTTTTCCTTTATCGCCACACAAATCATCAGTCCGACTCATCATCACTATCATCCGTGTAGTCGCCCTCCTCCCCATCCTCCTCTTCCGATTCTTCCTCTTCCTCTTCGCCATCCTGAGGCTTCAGACCATAGTCGTCGTGGAAGTACGCCAGCTGCTGCACCTGTGTCTTGTAGCCCGTCTCCTTGAGAGCCTTCTCGATATTCTGTCACAAGTCAGGTTAGTATTTCAGTTCTCATTCACTCATCGGAGGAATGAACGTACCTCTTCCAGAATCGGTGCGCATGTGACAATGACGTTGCTCTTCCCCGGCGCAAACACGGGCATGATGAGGTCGTTCAAGACATCCTTGATCTGCTCATCAGTGACATCCCGCACGCTCTTCATGATCTTCTTGTGCCAGTCCAGAGGCACGCCGCGCACGACGCCGAGCACAAAGTTCTGGCTCGCGGCAGAGGCCATGGTCGACTGCTCGTCGGCAAAGTGCACGACAATCTGGCTGATGGCGCCCTCCTTGAGGTGGCGATCAATGGGCTCCTCGCCCTCGGCGATCTTGCGGACCGTCTCACGGGCGGCGGCGATGGCCTTGGAGACGTCGGGCGAGCGGTAGACGCGGAACTGGATCATGCCGCTGTCGACGTCGCGGTTGAAGAAGACGCCGTAGGCCATGCCCTGGCCGCGGACTGCGCACCAGAGCGGGCCCTCGACCGCCTCGAGATAGCCGATGGCGACGAGAATGGCGGGGAGGCGCGGGTCTTCAAAGGAGATGATGCCCTTGGAGGTGCTCACGCTGTACGAACCATCAACTGTCGTCATGGGGACGATGACGGCGCCGACGGAGCCCGGGTTCTCTCCCTCTTCGGTGAGATGGCTGTGCGCCTTGAGAACCGGAAGAAGCTCGCCTGCGGGTTGCAGAGCGCTGCTCAGGACGTCCCACGCAGCGACCGGGTTCTCGAGCTTATTCACATCTGCGGTGACGAGGATGCGCGTGTTGTTAAATTGGAAGAGAGACTTGCGGATCTTCTCGAACCAGGAAACAACCAATTCGGGATCGCTCTCGAGGAGCTTCTTGACTCGGCGCAAGTAGACGGCGCGGACCAAGGCTCGCTTCGAGACGGCATAGGACTCCTTCTTCAGATGGTAGGCCATGTTGATCTCAGTGGACATGGAGCGGCCGTCACGCTTGAGCTCGGGGATGTCAGCCAGCTGCTTCTGCACGCCAGCCTTGAGCCTCTGCACGTCAAAGACGCTGTCGAACATCATAGTGCGGATCCAGCTGATGATGCTGGCGTATTTTTCGGGCTCAATCTGGAACTGAATGGTGATGCTGTCCGGGTCACCCATGTCCTTCGCAGACCGAATGCCGTAGCTGATGGTTTCCTCCTCGAGTTCCATGACGATCTGCTCAAAGTCAACCTGCTTGCCGTCGCGCTCAATGGGCGTGTTGAAGAAGTTGTCGGCAAAGATGGGCAACAGAGGCTTCACTTCGGTGGGAACCTGGGCGGTGCCCAAGTAGAGACTGATGTGCACAAAGTTGGAGGGCACGCTTTCAAACTGGATGAAGAGAGGGTCCTTGCCGTCGGTCGCGGCATCGATGACCTTCTGCGCCTTATTCTCAAAGACTCCCAGGCTTCGGGCCTTTCCAGACTTGGCCGTTTCGGATTCGATGAAGTGGATAGAATCGGTGCTGGGTACGGACCAACGGTCGACGACCTCGGGCGGGATGGGCATGTCGTTCTTCTTCTTTGCCGCCTCCAGCTTTTCGGCGAGCTTGGCCAGTCCCTCAGGACCAAGCTCCGCCTTTCTCTTCGCGAGTCTTTCCTCCTCCTCCGTCTTGTACTTCTCAGCCAGAGCCATGGACGGTTTTGCGAGGATAGCAATGTGGTGAGCATCCGAGATCCACTTCCTCAGGAAATCCCTCCACTGCTCGTCGGTCCACTTCTCGAGGTTGTCGTACTCGTCTAGGCTCTTCATGTCAAGAAGTGTCGAGCCATCACGCTTGCCGAAGAGATAGTCGGTGATGATGTTGCTCGAGAAGAAGCTCTCGGAGGACTCGGCCTGGAACTTGACCTGTCGGCGCTCGCGCTGGACACACGACTTCATGTACTCCATGTCGAGGGGCTTGGAGGCCACCTCCTTGAAGAGCTCAATCAGCCTCTTGTAGACGAATTCGAGCTTCTCCGTGGCGACACTCGTAGGCTGGAACCAAATGACGGACTTGGGTCTGGACTCCCAGTAGCAAGCCACAGAGCTGGCGAGTTCTTCCTTCTCGACCAAGACGTTCTCGAGAATGGAGACCGACGAGCCACACAGGTAGGTTTGCAGAACGTTGAGCGCAGAAGTGGCCAAAGGGTCAGTGCAGTTAGGCCCGAACCAGCCAACCACCACCTCGCCAACCGACTCGTCGGCCTCGGGGAACTCGGCAGTGGACACCTTGGTCTCGGTGAGCGCAGGAGGCTGCTCAGAGTCGATCCAGGGCCTGTCGATGGTCAGAACATGTCGGCAGCAGAATGGTGGATAGGTGTCCTACCTCTTGAAAGGAGCATCGAGGGGGGGAAGGTCATCCTTGATACTTTCTTCAAAGTCATCGAGAATCTGGAGAAGGTTGTCGTGATCGGTCTCGCCCACAATGACAACAGCCAGATTGCGGGGCTGGTACATCTCCCGATGAAATTCCCTGATCCGGTCGGTGGTCAAGTTGCGTAGAGCGTCCGTCATACCGCCGGTCTCGTATCGGAAACCGACATTCTCGGGGTACAGCTGACGCTTGGCGGCGAGGTCGACAATCTCTGCGCTCTTGTACTGAATCGCCTGCATCTCAGAGTAGACGACACCCGCATCATTGCCCTCGCCGTCAATGTGGTGAACCTCGGTGGTGCAGGCCTCATCGGTGATGACGGGCACAATGACGTGCTCGAGGTACACGGGCAGGATCTGCGCAAAGCCCTCCCATCCGGCACTCTCGAGCGTGTAGGCCGTGTGGTCAGTGGCAGTCCAGGCGTTGGTGCCAGAGTAGGCCCTCGAGGAAATCTTGTCGAGGAGGCCCTTGTAGCGGTAATTCTTGGAGCCCATGAAGACGAGGTGCTCCAGCGTGTGAGGGGCGCCCGAGTCATCGAGAATCTCGGTCGCGAGTGTGAAGTAGCCGTTGACCTTGGGACCCTGGCGATCGGCCACGATGACCTGCATGCCGCTGCGCTCCGAGACATACTGGCTGATGGTGCAGGGCGCGTACTCGGTTTCGAAGCTCTGGATCTTGCGGAACCTCGGCTTTGGGCGTTCCTCTGGTGCCATTTTGTCTGGGCGGGAGATGGTGCTGTTTGAAAACGAGAAACTGTCGTCTTGGTCAGTCAACCCCGACACTGAAGCGGTTTCTCCTCTCGCGCTGTTCTCGACATGCCATGTGTGACAAGGCCAGAGGAAACAGAGTCCTACTACAAAAGAGCTATATGAATGAAGCAACATGATTACTCTTCTGTTTTCGGTTTGACGTGGTACAGGATGATGCCCAACAGAGCAAACAGCACCGTTGGCAAGATCGGGACAGTCCTAACTCTAGCCATCATGGTGTTGCGCAGTGCATGGAAAAGAGTTCGTCATGTGGCCTTTGATCGACCTTGACAGGAAAGTAAACGAGCCTCGGGGAGGTAGGTATGCAGGAGGACCACATGGAGTAACAAAGTATGTTCCAAGTGAATTGAACGAGCAATCAGAGATGAACAGGTAGTGGTGTGTGAAATAGAGGTGAGAATGAGGAAGAGAAGGCATGCAGCTCTGCTTACCGTTTACGCAAAGAGTGAAGCCAATGGAACTGTTGCCTGGAGCTCACAGACCAACGATGCCCACCACTCAGTGGCAGCCTTGAAATCGTCTGGAGCGTTGTGACTCGTGGGGGGGAAGGAGGGGTAACGGCGGTGGCAGCAGGCAGAAGGACTCGCAGCCTGCCCGCTTCTTATAAGGGCCGACGAGGGAGGCAGAGGAAAGGAGGGAAAGGAAACGACGCAAACGTTCTATTCGTGAGCTGGTATGAAGCAACAAGCGGTTTGAACAATAGAGAAGAACAATGTGTGTATGAAGCCAAGCGTCTTCTGGTATACATTTTGGCGGGGTGCAAGAGCAGCTTCTCGACGAGGGGCAACGCGTACGCACGTGTGATTGGCCAATGAGCCGCGCACATGAGAGAAAGGCGGTGGATTGCTCGATGCGACAAGCGCTGCCGCCCGCTATTGAGGTACAGGGGTACATGACAGCTTGTCCCGGCTTCCTGGACAGCTTCCCTGTCCTGTGTCCTGCGACGAATGACGACGTGGTTTGTCTGCTTGAGTACTGCCTTTTCTTCCAACATATTTGAAGCCACTGGTGGTTTGCGAGACCGCATATCGTCGTCCTTTATTCTTTACCACGTCCACCCGAGCTCGCGCCCCAGCAAACGCCATACAATTCGGTGACGTCGTGGTATTTCCCATGCCTGGCGAAGCTATCTGCCAGCAACCACGCACCTACACGATCCACGAACATGGCCGTCGGTACCGACACCAAAACAGCGACGCAGCTTGGTGATGCCATTGTGGCATTTGCGCTGCAGGGCGAATTTCCCGACGAGGGCGTGTCGTCCCTCTCGCTTGCCGAAGGCGACCTCTCCCCAGCCATCGAGGCTCTGGCGAGGGCCAAGGGCCAGCTCGAGGTACGGTCTACGGTTAGTGAGAGATAGAACACGAGCTCTAACTCTGAGCAGTCTGAGATACACATCATCAACGAGGAAACGAAGGGCGACGTGAGCTCGTGGGTCCGAAACGCGAAGACGCTGCAGGAAGACATTCTCCGATCCAAACGACTAGCAGACGACATTGTCCGACAATCAGAGGCTCCCGATGTTTCCGGCAAGACGATACAAGACGCGGTAGACCATGTGGAATTCTTGCGGAGGGAGGTGCTATACAGCCAGCAGCTGCACGAGGCGTTGACGGGCATTCGATACGTCAACGACCTGCTGGCCGAAGTGGAACAAGCAATGAACGAGCGCCGCATCCTGGACGCTCTGAGGTTACTTGAAAGTACGAACCTTGTTTTCGGAAGATGAAGAGGGCGTAGAGAAGAGCTGACCGGTGGCAGAGTCCTGGACCGAGCTTGATAATGTGCCTGTCAACAAGAAGAGCTGCAGAGTGATGCGCCTTCTCGATGTGCGCGCATTCGAGCTCAAGTCTGCTGTACACAAAGTGTTCGACCATGTCTGGAACACGTTGGTCCATGTCGACAGCGAGACCAAGCGATTGTCCATTTACAGCCAACGAGAGAGTATGCAGCTGATTCACCCGCCTGACTGCAGACTGCTGACTAGGACTAGCTGAGCAGATGACGCTGAGTGAGGCCGTCATTGGTTTGGAAGCCTACAAGGAGGTTGATGACCGAATGTCCCAGCTTTGGCAGGACATTGACCGGGCTATCGTCTCGCCTCGAATGGATGTGAGGGCACCGCAGCTGTTGGCGATTCAGGCAAGCGAGGTATGTTCTCTACTCCTGGAACCTTTCTTCATTTGGCATTGTGGTTGCAAGACTGACTGTATGCAGAACGTCCTCGAGGCGCAAGGCGAGGCTGGACGAACGATTGATGATCTTTTTGCCGATCTTCAAAAAGTCGTCGAATTCCTAGCCAAACGATTGCCACCAGACCTGTTGATTTATCTAAGCCCTATCATGATGAGCGATGTCGTCCCACGGCTGGTCAGCACGTGGCTGGACGCGGCGGTGCCCTCTTCACTGCGGGATATTGGACAATTCCAGGCCGTCATCAAATCCGCGAGCGCGTTCTGCGCCGCGCTGGAGCAGAACGGCTTTTCAGGCTTTACAGAACTCAAGGAATGGGTCGGCAATGCTCCATCAATCTGGCTTGCTAAGTGCAGGGAAACGGCTCTGGATGCAGTACGCAACAGGATATCAAGAGGGTAACGTGGGTTCAATCTCGTCCTGTGGTCTCTTACTAACACATGCCAGGCTTGGCGAGACGCGACAAGTTGAAAAGGTGGAGA